GCCATTTTAAGCTAGGGTTGGAGAGATGGCTCAGTGTTAAGAATACCTGCTTTGCAACCATGGATTTGGATTCCAGCGTCCACAGAATAAGACAGTCTTCCTGTGCCTGGCTGTAACCTAGTCTTTGAATAGGTAGGAATAGATGGCAATTCCTGATGCTCCTTTTGTGGCCTCTGTGCATTTCAAACACACCCACCCCTCCACATGTACCCACGCACACACGTTCACGCTCCACACACACACACCGTTTACCATTTTTAGGTACACAGATCGGCATTCATGTTGCTGTGTAGCCATCGCCACTCTCAATGTACAAAACTCTTCCTGTTGCAGAACCAAAACTCCTGGGCCCATTAAACACCAGTCTCCATCATCCACTGCCCTCCACCTCTGGCTGCCTTCTCTCTGCTTTGCCTGGACGGATCTGACTGTGGTAGGTCCCTCCTATCAGTGTAGTGTCCCACGGAGCAGACAGGCACATTTTTTTTGCTAACTCTTTACATTTTATAGACAGAGTTAACTGGGAATTCCAAAACAGGAAGTTAAATTGATTAAATTCCCTCCATCTCTGGCATCCTTCTGCCTCACTCTTTTCCCTCCTGACTTGAACCCCTCCTCTAAAGCTGTGTTTCGTTTTCACCTCTGGACTCTTCTGAGCCTCTCCTCTTTTTTTTTTTTTTTTTTTTTCGGCACCTCAGCGGTTATTCTCTTCCCTTCTTGTTACATACTTTCCCTCCCCCTTTCCTCCCCTCCCCCCATTGCCTTTTTCTCTTTCTGTTCCAGTGTCTGGCCTGGGTGTTTGCTCTTTGCAGGTTGGAGAGGCCTTGACTGGGCCCTGCTCCATGCACACAGCCACCTGCTGCGTTCCAGGTAAGCATCACTGAACGTCCCCTGAGGACTGAAACATGCACCAAAGTGCAAAGATACCAGGAGTCCTGGTCGGGGCCTAAGGGGTCCGGTTGACTTTGTGTTTTTCTTAGGTTGGTGCACTTAGTTTCAATAGTGTTTGGCTTGAGCACTACGTCTTTATCAGAAACGGAGGTGGGAACGCAGAGCCGGTCCCCAGCTCTCCTTGTTGGTGCTGTGTCCAGTGAGCTGACAAGGATATGCGTGTAAAGGAAAGGCCTAGGGGGCGATGCATGTCTCAAAGAGGTGAAGGAGGTTGTTGACCAACAAACATTCCAGTGTTCCCCAGGAGCTCTTTGGGGGGGATTATTATAGCTGAGGATAACCACATGTGAGGGTGAGCTACCTCAGGTTGGTTCGGAAGCCTACACTGTCCAGCCCACTCTCACCCTGCTTGGCTCTGTGCCCACACCATCCCTCAACTGCTAAAGATATTAGAAAGTACCAGGGGGCTGGGCGGGCCCTTGAAGGGACGTTTAATGGGTCTTCCTACCCTGAAGTGATTAGAATCGTCAGAGGAATTTAGGAAACATATGTTTTGAATTCATGTGTTGGGGTTGGTACCCGTGGGTCTTGCCGTTACCACAATTTCTTCTGGGTGATTCTGCTAATCGGCTCCTGCTTCACTCTTCCCCAGACATGCTGGGGCCCATATAAATAACAGGACAAAACAGAAGTCCCTTGTGACTACAGACTCTTTTGGAGGTGTGGCCAGAGTCATTCTTTTCTATAAGCTCAGATTTGTCATTAGGGACAAACTTGTTCAGCAGGGCACACCACAGCTTGAGGAAATTGGTAGAATGTCGACTTGACATCAATTAGGAATGGATGAATGGTGGTGATGGTGAAGGATGGGCTTAGTCCCCAAGAACACGGTTCTTGCACAGGGAAGGTGGCCCAGGCAGCGGAGAATCCCTTCACCCATTGCGTCATCAATTCATGTATCCATTCATTCAGCAAATATTTGTTGGGTACACAGGATTAGTACATCTACAGAGCCTGAGTCCTTGCAGGGAATGAGAGCTTGAACCCAGGCTAGGGGTGGTGTGTCTCATGTCTGGGAGATTACATCCTGGATCCATGTTAGTCCCCTTCATATACGGCCCCCTCTCCCCTTGTGGTGACCCCTTTAGCACTAATTACAGAGATGGAAATAGACATGATGTCATTTCATTTCCCTGGCCACTCTCCTAGGGAATGGACACACGCTTAGAGGAACTGACTGACCAGGGTTGCAACAAGAGCCAGGAGATCTGAATCCACCCTAGTCCCATCCTGCCAAGACCTAGGCCGCAAACCGTGCATTGGGCTGAGATTTTAGCTTTTTGTCACTGACAGCCACAGGACACACGGCCCGGTGAAAGACAAGACCCCATTTGCCTGAGACATCGGGTCATTTCAAACCTCCCACACGTTAGTGTCTGAGCGCTTCTTCAGTTCCCAGGGACAGTGGCCTTTTTCAGCCCACATGAACGCTGTGTATACCGGAATATCTCTAGGTTTATTATCCAGCAGCTCAACAGAGTGATAGCCATGATTCCGCTCTCCTTTTGGTTGTCATACCCACTTGTTCAGCTCTTCCACCAGGCTTTGTTGGGATATAATGGACTTTCTAATTAGACCAGAAACCAACATTTAAGGCTGTCCACTCTCAGGGGGATCCGGATGCCACGATCTTTTCAGGGTGGGCCAGAGACCTTTTCCTCAGCCTGTGGGAGGGAACTCCTGGTAAGGCTATATTTAACTTGGCTGTTTTACCAGGGACATAGAGAGGCAGCCTTCCTACTTATTTTCTGTGGTGCCGAGGACTGACTCCAGTGCTTGCTGGGCAGATTCTCTACCACTGATCTGTATACACAGCTTCTTCATTTTCTTTCTAGACAGGGTCTCACCAAGCTGCCCAGCTACCCTTAATCTCACTGTATAGTCCCAGAGAGATCGCCCTGGACTTTAGATCTTCACTTCTTAGCCCCCTGAGTAGCTGGGATTACAGGCTTTACCACTAGACTTGCCTTTCTTTCTTTTTCTTGTTCTTCCCCTTTTCTTTCCTTCCTTCTTTCTTACCGTCCTTCCTCCCTCCCTCCCTCCTTCCTTTCTTCCTTCCT